TAATGCACCTGAGAATTCAAGCGATCGCCGTCTTCACGTCACGTGACGGCGTGCGAGACTCGTGTGCGTCCGACGGCCGTAAATCTTCATAACCGCCCGCCCGCCGCCCGCTTCCTGCCCGCCCGCCGCCCACCCATCGCCCAACCGTCGCCCGCCCAGAGCCCGCCGCCCGCCCAGAGCCCGCCGTCAACACTGAATGAGTGATCCCCCGATGCGCTGCTAGTGGTTTTAGCTTGATTGATAGAATATCTACAAACTTACATGTTATATCAGGAGTAGGATATCATATATAACTATTACCCAACTACTTACATAACTGTAGTCTTAAATAATAATAGTTATGGTATATTATCCTACTGCTAGTATTATCATCCCGATCATATATGATAAATTAAATAACTAAATAATTCATAAGATCATAAATTCATATGTTATAGTGTCGTAGCGTAGCATGCAAAATGATGCAACACACAGTGGATGTTGCGACATACTACCAACGTCGGCATGACAACCCTATAATTTCCTTCGCATGCAGTAAGTGGCCCCGCCTCGTTGTAGTGAGAAACTGATAACCTTTCTTCATCAGTCCTGTACTGCGCTGTACTCACGCGATTCTGGTGCGGTCATAAGAAAACGTGCAGTTCTGCCAATACGAGGCTTGTGCGTATGCAGTGTGCTGCCCAGATGTACAGCAAACTCATACACACGCACACACACACACGCTGTCTGTGTGAGCCCGCCCGCTCGCCTGCCTGTCTGCCCGCATGCTGTGCTCGTTCCCATCAAAGTTCCATTTCTCAGCACCATGCCGATAGCGTAGCGCGTTTGTACAGGAAGCGCCCGAGAGAGAGATAGAGAGAGGCGCGGAGGCGGGGAGAGAAAGAGTGGGAGGGGTGTAACCGGCAGATTTTGCGCCTATTTTCCTTTCCGATGCTGTGGTTGCGTCTAAAAACGCCGCCGTTGCCGCCGCCGCGGGAAAAATACACCACAGCGTGCGTCCGTCTGCTATTCGGCCCAGTTACCGCTAATTTCCAGCTGGCAGGTAGCAGCTGCGATCTTAGATAGGTTACTTCACCACTTCGTCAGTAGGCTATTAACGTAGTGTAGAGACGGGGTGTCAGTCTACGGTGATCTGCGCGGGGAGATCGTAGGCAGTGTTATAGCTGCTGCTCCGCTAGCATGGGCGTGTAATGAGGAGAGGAGGGGAGAGTCACTAGTAGTAAGCGATCGAGCTACTCTATAAGCGGGGTGCGCGTAGTAGCGCAGGATATATAGACGCGCCTTCTGACGGCCAGAGTGCCCCGGCTTTCACAGTTTGTTTTTCCGCCTTGCCAGCTAATTGCGAGGGCTTTCGTACAAGCGCTTGTGCTGAGAGAAGAGAGGCGAGAGAGAGAGAGAGAGAGAGAGAGAGAGAGAGAGAGAGAGAGAGAGAGAGAGAGAGAGAGAGAGAGAGAGAGAGAGAGAGAGAGAGAGAGAGAGAGAGAGAGAGAGAGACAGTAGATAGGGAAGAAGATAATTAGCATGAGACGTCAAGGCCGTAAGAGTCGCCAGGTAAAACTCTTGGCCAATCATCATCATCATCTCTTCTCGAACTGCCACGCACGCACTAGCACGCACGACACGCACGCCCACCGCACGCACGCCACACGCACGCACACACTTTATCTCCCTAACCTCGATTCTCTTCTCCTACTCTTCACTTCTCTCTCGTCTCTCTCTTCTCTCTCTCTCTCATCTCTCTTTCCTCCATCCTCACCTCTCTCTGCTACTCTCTCTCTCTCTCTCTTCCTCTCTCTCCCTGTCGCCTTTTTAATATCTTTCTGTTTTTTCTCTTCTCGCATGTGTGAGCGTGTTTCTGCGCACGTTTACTTTGGCAAAGCGGTAAGTTTTGCTCTCCACTCTCCAGTAATTAGTAGCATCAATAGCCCATTAATAACTGCATGGTTCCTGGTAGCAAGTGTTTTAGTCGGCGATAATGTTCTCTCTTGACAAACATTTCGCACACTTTGCGTGACAAATTACAGCGAAGACACTTTGAAAACATAAGACGAAGACGAAAGACTTTTTGTTGTAATAATCGTAGCGTAAACAAATGGTACGATCAACTCGAGCGGCTCTGAGCAGCGCGGTGACTTCAAACGCAATTGTGATCAGACGAAATCGAACAACTTTGATAGGGTATTTTTGCGGGTAGCTTTGATATCGTTTACCAGTAAATATATAAGTTCAAACATTCAACTATAAACATTTCACATCAACCCTGTTTCGAATCTACATACATGTGTTAAAATTTCGAAAATGATTTTTGTTCAAATTGATGAAAACCTGGTGCTTTCCGTAACGCCCATATGCGCGGGCACGACGATAACATAAATTACTAAAACCCCGTTAATTGTTAGCACTTGCTGAGCAGTTTATTTGCTCCACTTTACTCTACGTATTTATTCCCGAGGGTTTAGGTTTTTCGTATACGAGTAAAAACACGGTTACGCTCGATGTATACAACGTAGCAAGCTCTTGAACGTAGTAATAAAGTTTCCCTTCATGAGTTTCCTCCGCTACTAGACACGTGTTTAACTTGCAGATAATGTTGTATAATACAGGCAGAACATTCTTAACTAGACCCACGAACTCAGCAGTAAATCATTGAAACGTATTTGTTTCAGTCCAATCGTGGTACTTGTAGGAATAGTGACAGATGATTTGGCCATAGCGAGTGAAGTAAAATAAATCGGGGCAAGAGTTTGGTTCAGCCAACGTTCTTATATATTACATTCCTCCTCCTCCTCCTTCCTCTTCCTCCTCCTCCTCCTCCTCCTTCTCCTTCTTCTTCTTCTTCGTCTTCTTCTTCTTCTTCTTCTTCTTCCTCCTCTTCTTCTTCCTTTTTCCTGGGAGCTTCTCACGGCAAGTTGTTTTCAAGCCACTCAGGAAGAGATATTCTAAATTAAGCTTCATTTTCTACTATTGACAGTCTGACAGATGGACCCGCCATAGCGGGAGGAGTAAACTATTGCACGCACAACCACGTCAGACGACAACAAAGTCACTATGAAGTTTACAAAACGCTGCTGTCACTGTCAGTCTATCAGTAAGCTCGTGTCAGAGAAGATCAACTTGCTTTTTAAAACCCCCGCATACGCCTAAAATACTAGCGGCTCCCGTCGCTCGAGTATGCTGTGTCGATCATACATTGGTATATAGTTCAAATAAAGAGTCTAGGGCAATAAGGCATATTATCAAGAGTACATAATAGGAGATGATATTATCCACCCATTATATTAGCAGTTTTTCTTCATCCGTTTTTATTATTAACCCTATTTATCTTACTCCTGACAAATTCTTGGCGCGTAACGCGCGAGCTTTTTGGCCACGTCACCGCCCTCTGCCTCCACGCACATCCGGTCCGTCCATGTGCATGACGTGGCTGCAAGATATCGTTGTTGGTGTTTACTATGTGTATATATTGCTGAACTATCCACGGCGCAGGGAGCTGTTCATGTTGCACCCCGCTTGCCAGGCCCCCGCTGCTGCTGCAATAAATGCCGCCAACAAAGACTATTGCCTCTCAAGACGGGGTAGACATCACCACCTTCTCTCTTTGTCGAGGAGAACGGGCGAGCGATGATTTCGTGGTGTGGCAGTTTAGTGACGGGATGCAGCAAGCTCCGCCATAAAATCCAGGACCCAATAAAGTGTTTATCGCGTCTATCATCACTAGCGTATAGAAGTCTTTAATTACTACTGCGTGTGCTAAACGAAACCAATGAACGAGTAACAATGCGTTTTCATGGTCACCAGCAAGCCCGTCATGTACTCGTCTGCGGCTGCATTCGTCATTAGGCGCGTTCACACTGGCGCGAATAAGCGGGATGCAAATCCCGGTTTTTCAATCGCGATCGAAATACCGAGATTATTACAAGTGTGAACGCAATAATACCCACTAATAATCGCGATCAGCATCGCGCTCCAAATCGCACTTTTGACTGCGATTATTTGGAATAAGCGCGATTATTTGCG